CTGACGTCATGATCTTCGTCGGCCCAGGACCAGCCACCTTCGCCAGTCGAATGCCCACCGACCGCAATATGATATGTGCATCGTCGAACGACTCCTCCTTGCCGTGGTGATACTTTGGGCGGCGATGCAAATCTTGCTCAACGACTCGCCCGCGCATGGTGTCGACCGAGGTCCAATCCACCGACACAGGTTCAATGCCATCAGCTTTCACAACTAGTGACATGTGACGGCCCTCGCCAAGAATTGCGAGCTGATCATCTCTCGCGTACACTACTGCAGCCACGCTAGACTCATAATGTTCACGCCACTTCGCGTACGGTGAATCGACAAGCTCTTCAAGACCACCACCGGCAACTGCACCACTCTCACCAGCACCGACTGCACAATTGCCGATGATACTGTTCAGCATGAGCTCATCGTCAACCTCGGCCGGCGTCAGGGACGGGGCGAAGTCAGCTTTCAAATCTGCATCACTGGACATCGCGTAGCCGCCAGCAGAGTCTGCGGTCTTCGCAGCTGCGGCGAGCACGGCAGCCTCTGCAGCCGACGCATCATTCTCGCCCGACGCGACTCGGTCGGCCTCTATGATTCTCTCCAGCTCGTTCTCCAGCTCAGTGCCGCCAACTATGCCAGCGACCGCGGACGCAAGTGCCTCTCCCAGGGCAACAACATTCACAGGCAGCGCTGCCCCTTCGGCCCCTTCGGCCCCAGCTGATGGCAACTCGTCGCCAGCGATTTCAAATAACCACGAATCTGGATCGAGTTCAAAGCGATCACCTGCGCTGAAGGCACCGACAGCAGTAGTGCGCCGTCGGCGAACAAGTGCAGGTGGCTCTGGGGTCAATGTGACAACGTCTGATACTGGAACACCCGACGACCATCCAAGCTGCGGCATCCAGTCGTCTGCATCAATGGGACGGGGCGCATGCCAAATTATTTCAACGATCATATAATCTAATGAGCCCGTCTCCAGAACACCAGCCCGATACCGCGCAAACATTTCCAGCGTGGACAAGATATGCAATGGCAACACATGCGAAATAAACCCATCATCATCCGCGCGCGCCATGACCATTGTACCCACACTATGTGCCTTGTCAGCGCATATATAAAGCATGTTGCCTGCAGTATACTCTCCAAAACAGATGGCTTCAGACATGTGTGGTGAGCCACGTGAACGCTGAGCTTGGTTCCACAATACACTCCAAGGGGTCGCCCACGCTAGCTCTTCAACACTAAGATCATGATCAGGCGGCTTGAACGGAAGCAACTCAGAAACATCAGATGAAGATGGCAGCTGTCCTGGAAGCGGCAGCGGCGGGGGTGACCAGCGGAGTTGCTCGAACCCTATATCATCTGCACCGTCTACGTTCAGAAGACACCGATCAAACACAACCTTGACATCATCACATATTGCAGACCATTTCGTCATGTGCACCGGCGGCAGCTGCGATTTCAGCTGCACCCGACTGCTCAGGAGCTCCAGCGAGATGGACGGCGCCCTGTTGCCCTGGATCTTGATCAGGGAGTTCGCGGACTCGACCGGCCGGCTGCTCGCCTGCCGGGGGGGGGGGATGGGGCTGGGAGGTGGGGGATGGTTATCCTCGTCCGTCCTCCTTATTCTCACCCGCATCGTCGGTCCCTTTTCTCCTTTACCTTCTTCTCCACCTCCTCGGCCTTTCCCGGGCCCCCTCCTCCATCTCCCCCATCAATCCCATCGCGTCCGCGTTTGGGCGGGGCGGCGGACAAGGCACGCACTTACGAACGCGAGGAGATGATGAGGAGGATAGCGTGGAGGAGGTGGGTGGGAGGAGCCAGGGCAGCAGTGCAGCAGCTGCACGTAGAGGGTGGAAGGGCGAGGCATGACGGGAAGGAGTCAGAGAGGGGATGAGAGAGGCAAAGAGAGAGAGAGAGAGAGAGAGAGAGAGAGAGAGAGAGAGAGAGGAGAGAGAAAAAAAAAAAAAGAGAGAGAGAGAGAGAGAGAGAGAGAGAGGGAGAGAAAGAGAAGGAATAAGGAGGGAGAGAGAGAGAGAGGAGAGAGAGAGAGAGAGAGAGAGAGAGAGAGAGAGAGAGAGCGCGCGAGAGAGATGTTGAGAGAGGAGAGAGAGAGAGAGAGAGAGAGAGAGATGAGTGAGTGAGTGAGGAGAGAAGAGAGTGAGTGAGTGAGCGAGAGAAGGAGGGGCCGAGAGAAAAAAAAAAAAAAAAAAAAAAAAAAAAAAAAAAAAAAAAAAAAAAAAAAAAAAAAAAAAAAAAAAAAAAAAAAAAAAAAAAAAAAAAAAAAAAAAAAAAAAAAAAAAAAAACGAAGCAGATATAGCAGAGGGGATGCCTTCAGATCGCGGCCAATCTGGTGCACGACAGTCCACAAGCGCGACGGGCACTGGCCGTCCTGCGCAGCCGAAGCGATCTCCTGGGGCCGGCGGTGACGACGACTGCTCCCCTGCTCCTTGCCTGCCCCCGTCCCGCGTCGTCCCCCCCCCTCACCTCCCAAGCCCGCCTCCCCCCTCCGCCGCCTCCTCCACCCCCTCCATCCTCCACATTCCACCGACGTCGACCGACATTAAAGGCCCCAGGAGGGGGCCCCATGGGGGCCCAGCAGTCGGCGTCGGAGTCGGGTCGAGTCCGAGTCCGAGTCCAGGGGGGCTGCCGAAGCGTCGCCTGCAGCAGCCCCAGACGTCAGGGCATCGGACTCGGGCTCCACTCGGCCCAACCGAGCCCGACGACCCGATGTCTGTCGTTGCCGTGGGCGGCGCTGCGGCACAGGGGTTCTAGACAGACTACCCAACGCGTCCTCGCTGAATAGCCGCTTCAGTTTCCGAACGTTGATTTCAAGCGACGCGCTCGGGGTGTCCATGATCTCGCCAGCAACTCGTTGCCGCATGGGGCACGGAACTGACGGGTGCCGCCAGGAGATGTAGAAGATGCGGAAGGGCCACCTGGCGACAGCGTGAGCCGCCGCCGATTCGCATGGTTGTTGGACGATGCGGTGCCAGCTGGGTCCCGGGGCCCTGGGGGGGCCGCTGTTCCGAGCTAGGTCCAGCCCAGACGTGACAGCGTTCCGAGCTTGGTCCAGCCGTGGCGACGCCAGCGTTGGCAACGCGCATCGTCCACAACACCGCGCTGCGCTACCGTCGACGGGGGGGTGCACGGCACAGGCAACTCGGACGGCGGCGGAGGCGGCAGGAGGGAGAGGAGGAGAAGGGGGAGGAGGGGAGGAGGAGGAGGAGGAGGAGGAGGAGGAGGGATAGGTCCCAGGGGGGGAGATGAGGAGGCGGGGGTGAGTTATCACCTCCGTCGGTAGCCATTTTGGGTCATGGTTCCCCCGCCTCCTCCACTCATCCCCCCCTCCCGGGTCCTCCCCCACCGTTCTCCTCGCCATCTGGGGGGTCAAGTAGCCGCCGAGCGAGTTGCCCTGCGCGGTAACTGTCGCGAAGCGATGGGGTGGGAGGCGGGGTGGTGGTTCTGATTAGCCTGCCCCGATCTACCGTCGCAGCGGCTGCGCGATCCTGCGGTAGAAGCCAGCAGCGTGAAACGATATCATGCTCTGCGCCAAACCCCACGGCCAGTCGCGGTCGAGCGGCGGCGCGCTCGATATCGTCTCCCTCCACCAGCCGTCAGTATACATCGCAAAATACTCAAGCAAGAACTCATCTGTTTTGCCAGTGGCAAGCCTGGCGACAGGACCCACGCAATGGCACAGTGCTTTCTCTTTGAAAACGTCAATGGCCTGATGCTGCAATAGGAAGTTCTCGAAATGCTCACCCGGCGCGTGGACGCGGCGCGACATCTCAAGGATAACCCAAAACGATTTGCAAGACTCAAGGGCACACACGTCGAAGACGTCTCTGCGCCATCTGCCGACCTTCTCGGAATACTGTTGTTGATCGTGAATCGCCAACCCATTCAGTTCATCACGCCGAGCCTTCGTCGCCACCGCATCGCCGCTAGCTGCGTCGGCGGCGGCGACGGCAGCTCCGAGGGCCTCGAGCTTGAGAGCGTCGGTCAAGGACATCGGCGAAGCATCAGACGCCGACGCCTTCTTCAAAATCACACCCGTGAGCACCGATGATATCTTAGTAGACCCAGCGGCAACATATCTGTGCTGCACTGCATTGATGGACCCCCAGCGCCCAGCAACAAATTTCGGGGGGAGCGTGAGCGCGTGCTGCACAGCGTCGACCGCACCGTATTTCGCAGTCCAATCAGAGAAAATGTGTTTTGAAAGCTCTCTCCACACATTTGATGTTGCACAACGTTGGATAATGCCGAAAAGACTTGCCTGACCTCTTGAGCGCGTCCTCTATTATCAGAAGGCCACCTTTCACCAACAAGTGATATTGATGCTCAAGACAGCGCAGGTCTATATACAAAGCGTTCGACATGGGGGCAACCAAAACCGTCAACATCCGCTTGACAGCTCTCTGATCTGAACCAGCATCGGTGACGTTGAAGTATGCGACCACGGCCACGAGGCCGTCGCCAGGGATTGTCGTGGGCACTTCTGTCCAGAGTGGAACGCCGAGGGACTGCAACTGTTTCAGCGTCAAAGCGAACGCACCATCACGCGTTCCCGTCTCAACTGGCAAAATATCGGCTAGATGTGATCGCGAAGCAAAAGCCTCCGCGTGACAAAGGTTTCCAGAAATAAGGTTCACGCGCCACTTATTATCGCTCGACGCCGCCACTGCTGTCTGCGCGAACAAACTGTGAAGTTTCCTCTGGGCAGAAAAAAACACTCTACCCGCTCTTCTTCTTATCAATCTGATCAGGGCCCCACGAGAGGAAGTTCAAAGAGGAGCGATTGGGGAAAGGGGGGCGGAGCGGGGAAGGAGGCGATGATGATATTGAGGAGGGGAGAAGAGTGAGGCAGGAGGGAGGAGGGGGGGAAGAGGAGGACGCGGTGGAGGAGGAGGAGGAGGAGGAGAGGGAGGAGGAGGGGGGGTGATCACGGTGATCACTGACCACCGCGTGCATATTACTTTGGAGACCCCCCATTGGTCCTCCTCTGCCACACGGCCGAGTTGGTCGCGTCCGCCATCCAGGATATACAGGCCAGTGCCAGGCGACCAGGTTCTGACGCAGTTCTGGAGTTCAGGGATCCCCACGCAGCCCTAATCAGGTTATGGAACGTGCGACTGCTGGCAACCAAAGCTGACCCCGCGAACACTTCCGCCCTGCCAATTGTTTGTTGCGAAATATCAAAACACATGATCATTCCAACATGTATTTGCGCTATGTTCGCGAGGTTGCGGCGTGTACCGAGAGCCAGCTTACCTTGTTGAGTCAATTGTTTGGCCCCCCTCTTCTGGATATCAAGGTATGAGCTCCGACGCCGAAACTCAGCCAGATCCCGGTTTGCATGTTTCAGTTTCTTCCTGACCTCCACCAGTGCGTCAGATTTGCGGCGCGCCCGCTGCGTCAACAGAACGTTCCTGGAGAATGATGAGACGGAGAAGCGGGGGGCAGGGCTCCGTGTACACGTCGGTCGCGGCAGGCAACGCGACGTAGGAAGACAAGCCTTGATAACAGCTTGGCGTCGCCACCTTCAAAGCGAGGAGCTGATCCTCGTTGCTTGAAGTAGGACGGCGTTTGACATATATCGGGGCCTGGGGAATCCAGAAACCACATGCTTTAAACGACCGACAAGTACACTCACATCATTCACCTTGTCCCCCGCTTCCACATCTCATCATTCAAAAGGGTCCTGCGTTTCAGCCCGGCGATCTGCACGGCGTGGCCCGCGTCGGGCTGACGCGCCTGCATCGCGAAGCGACTGTATGTGTTGTTCCATCCACCACCACCTCCACTCTCAACCTCGTTCTCATCCTCCCATCCACCACCTTCCTCCTTGGTTTCCCTGACAACGCGCCTGGGCTGGGACGAGTTGGCCAGCGTCAGCCTGTCCAGCTGGCACGACCGCGCCGCCCGAGGGAACAATCGGAACAATCTGATGTTGATGGTGGTGCTGCTGGTTGCGCTGGCAAACTGCTGCGGCCGTCGCACAAACGCGTGTCCAGTCAGGGCCCGACACGTGACAACCAGCATCACTGAGAACAACTAGCACCACATCAGGGTCGAGGAGCCCAAGATCCCCACTGCGCTCCATCAGCCACTGGCGATGCCCAGCGATCGCTTCAGTAATTCGCCGCCTGAGAGCACCATCGCGACCCGACACGGTCGATGCGAACTGCTGCGATGCCACGCCATCCAGCCGCAATCGAAAGCCGACGCCGTCGATCCACACGCCAGCGCCGACCAGCGCAACGCGCAAAGGCTGCCGTCCGACGGCGGCCATATCCCAGAAGCCCTGGACACTGGAAACTTGAGAAATGAAACAGCATCACGATAAACCAAACAGTTTGCGATCCTCGTGTGGCCCTCCTTGTCCTCATCCGTCTCCTCCACCTCCTCCTTCCCGTCCGTCTCCTCCACCTCCCCCTCCTACTCCTCCTCCTCCTCTCCTCCTTCTCCGCCGTGCGTGTCAAGGTTTTCCTCTCCTTATTGCAAGCCCTGCCTCCCCTATTCTACCTTGACGCCCGCTAAGTCGGGTCGCCTCGCTCGACCCCCCGGGGCCTCGCGGCGTGGAGTTGTGTCGGCCGCGTCTGGGCCCGAGGACCGCAAGCGCGACTCGCGACTGGAAAGGCGTTGCGCCCCCCCCTACTCCTGCGTTACGTCGGGGGGAGGCATGGGCGCGACGGGAGAGTGGACGAGGAGGGAGGGACGTGGCTGATACGAGCGAGGAGAAGAGCAGGAAGAGGAGGAGGAGGGAACAACCTAAGAGCCGATTATGCAAGACAGGCGGTGCATAATGACGATCGCACTCAAGCGTCGTTCCCTTGGAAATGTCTACACATCATGTTTTGGATCCAGTGTTGAGTGCATCCTGAAATGTTTCACACCTTTGTTTTTGATGATATCGTAGTTTCGCTTGTAAGTTTCGGAGGGCGGTGATAAAACATCGAATGATTGAATTGCTGCTGCATCGAAACACGCATGCGTGAAACCGACGCGTGTTCCATTTGTGGAGCACTACAAAACTGAAGCCGCCGAACTTCAGTTAGTTGGACCATCGCCTCGGCGACAACAAAACAGCACCGCAACAAGCGCGGATACAACAAAACAGCTCGAGTCTCCACGCCCTCTGTTGTTTAATGTTTTACCCTACAAATGGAGCATCCTAGTCTGCTGCCGTCGTAGCCATTGCTGGTCGCTGCCCTTGCCGCCGTCGCAGTAGCCCGTGCTGCCCTTGCCATAGTCTTAGTAGCCATCGCTGCCCTTGCCACCGTCGTAGTAGCCATTGCTGCCCTTGCCGCTGTCGTGCTTGCCGCTGTCGTAGTAGCCACTGCTGCCCTTGCCATAGTCGTAGCCATCGAAGCCCTTGCCGCCGTCGTAGTAGCCCTTGCCGCTGTCGTAGTAGCCGTCGTCGCTGCCCTTGCCACCGTCGTAGTAGCCAATGTCGCTGCCCTTGCCGCCGTCGTGGTAGTAGTCATCGCCCTTGTGGTCGCTGCCCTTGCCACCGCTGTGGTAGTAGTCATCGCCCTTGCGACCGCTGCTGTCGCCACTGCCCTTGTGGTCGTCGTCGCCGCCCTTGTGGCCGCTGCAGCCGCTGTGCATCTCCAGCTTCAGCCTCTTCGTCTCGCGCTCTGCGTCGCCTGCGCGTTGGCACTGGCGCTTCAACTCCTTATGGGGGGTATGTGCCACGAACCCTATCCATCCACCCCTTCTCATCCCCTCCGTTCCCCTTTCTCGTTCCAAGCTCCTCGTTCAGCTCGGCGAACGCCGCCGAAATCGCTGACCTCGCGATGGCATCGGGGATCCTCTCGTCGAACGCGGTGCCATCACCGCGGCTCGCGAGATGGTCCTCGAGGGACCTTGGGACCCATGGCATATGGATGTCCCCCGATGGGCCCTGGGAGGGCCGCTGGGGGGACGTGGCCCTGCATGGGGCCTCGGAATTGAACACAAACGGCGGTGAACCCCTCAGTCGTCGCCGTCGTCGTCGTCGTCGTCGTCGGCGTCCGTCGTCGGCGTCCGTCGCCCGTCGCCCGTCGTCTGCCGCCGGCCGCCCCTAGTGTTTCACGTTTGCATTAGGGGGTGCATGCAGCTAGTATAGCAACACGCACGCGTTGCGGTACACCGCATGGGATTGCACGGCGCAGAAAAAAAAGGACAGTACACGCATGTTGCATACGATTGCATCGACCATCCTCAGCAGCCTCACCTCCATATCCTCATCCGTTGCCACTTTTCAGGCCCAAGCGTTTGGGCCTTCGCGCCAGTGCGGCGCTGCGCCACGCGCAGCCCCACCAGCGCAACCAGCAGCGCACCACGCGCAGCAGCACCCGCGCAACCAGCATCGCACCACGCGCAGCAGCACCAGCGCCATGGACGAAGCTGCGGTGGCGCTCCTCCTGGACGCGGCGGAGGACCTCAACCGCCGCCGCCGCGGCTGCGGCGCTGCCGAGCCGCAGCCAGCGCTGCGGCCGCCAGCGCCACCGCCGCCGCTGAAGCCGAAGTCGAAGTTCGGGCCGCGGCAGCCTGCGGTCCCGCCTGAGGCGAAGCACTACGGGCCGCGGCCGCCGCCGACCGCCCCGCCGCCGAGCACGCGAGGCAGTGCGCGGCGAGCCAGCTGCTCGACATGTTCGACATGGCGCCCGCGATGAGCCCGAGCATGAACCAGATGCACGGCCTGCAGCACTTCGTTCAAGACGACGACGATTACGGCGACATGGGCTACCACGACGGTGGCAAGGGCAGCGCGCACGACGGTGGCAAGGGCAGCGGCTACGACAGTGGCAAGGGCAGCGACATGGGCTACTACAGCGGTGGCAAGGACAGCGCCTACGACGGCGGCAGGGGCAGCGGCACGGGCTACTACTATGGTGGCAAGGGCAGCGCCTATGACGGTGGCAGGGGCACCAGTGGCAAGGACAGCGAGATGGGCTGCTACTTCGGCGGCAAGGACAGCGCCTACGACGGTGGCAAGGGCCGCGACTACGACGGTGATGAGCCACAGCCGAAGAAGCGCCCATGCAAGCGCTATGGCTACTACGAGCGCGAGGGCGACGACCACTACTACCACAGCGGTGGCAAGGGCGATGACTACTACCACAGCGGTGGCAAGCACGATGGCTACTACCACAGCGGTGGCAAGCACGGTGGCAAGCACGACAGCAGCAACTACTACGGCAAGCGTGGCCGCTACTACGGCAGCAGCCAGAACGACGTCGGCTACCACGACAGCGGCCACGACGGCGACAAGGGCAACGACCACAAGGGCTACTGCGACGGTGGCAAGGGCAGCGGCCACAAGGGCTACTACGATGGTGGCAAGGGCAGCGGCCACAAGGGCGGCGACGACGACTACTACGTCCCGCGGCCGCGCGGTTGCAAGCACATCCGCCTCGCCAAGGGCCTGGCGGTGAAAGAGCTGGTCGAGGGCTCCGATGGCTACGACTATCAGCAGATGAAGTACATCGAGTGGAACAAGAGGCTCCACGCGCATGTGTGGAGGGAGGCCCAGCGCGCGTGGCGCGATGCCAACCTGTCGTAGGACAGTGGCTACCGCGACGGTGGCAAGGGCCGCGTCGGTGGCTGCTACAGCTGTGGCCACGGGCTGACACGACGGCGGCAAGGGCTGCCGCGACTGGCGGCAAGGGCTGCCACGACCAAGGGCTGCCACGACGGCGGCCAAGGGCTGCGGCGACAGGCGGCTTTGGGCTGCCACGACGGCGGCCAAGGGCTACATACAGCTGAGGTTACGGCAGCTCATCGCTAATTCTAGGCTCACGCGCTGCCTCCAGATCTCTCCGCAATCGCGACTGCGAGGACAGTTTGCCCCCTCCCCTCCTTCTGAAGCGATCAGAGGCTCAGTTGTCGTATATGAGTTTCTCACATACGACAGCGCTGTCGTATATGAGAAACTCAAATACGACAAACTCGGTGTGATAGTGTTGACGACAGCGCTGTCGTATATGAAAAACTCATATACGGCAAAGTTGTCGTATATGAGTTTCTCATATACGACAGCGGGGTGGTCGGATCACAGTTTCCTGGTGGCGAGTCCTGGTGGCGACGATTTGAGCGGTCTTGGATCATTCCAGGGGTGAAATGTCGGTCGACGGGTTTGCATTTGGGGTCGTTCGTGATCAATTGATAGCATACACCTCCCGCTCCTGTAGTTGACGTCTTGTCTAGAACCCACAGGTGTGCATCTGTTGTGGATAATTTAAGTGGACACGATGATAGTTATCAGCCCCACGGCGTGCGCGCAGATAAACACCGCCACAGGGGCCACGAGCCGCAAAAAAAACGGTGCAGCATCATCCTCGCATTATCGCCCCCGCAACCCGTCCTCCATGGCCCCTCCTTTGTTGCCCCCATCGCCCGTCCATCGTCGTCCTCCAGCGTTCGCGCTCATCATCCGTCCATCGTCCTTCCCTCGTTGCTTCTATCTTCCGCCGCTCGTTTCCCGTCGTCACCTCATCGCCTCATCATCAGTATCGTCATCGCCACCACCGCAATCGGTCTTCGTCGTCGTCGGTCACCACCGTCACCACCACCTTCGCCACCGTCGCCATCGTCACCAGCTCTCCTCCACCGCCTCGTCCCATTCCCAGTGTTCAGTCGACGCTATCAGATATCCAGGTCCTCGTTCGCTCGAGCTCATGTGCCCCCCCCCCGCCCCGTGTCATCTCGTTTTCTCGTTGCGGTGTGTCGCATTGCCCTCGTGGTCGCCGCCGCCGTCGCCGCCGCCGTCGCCGTTGCCGTTGCCGTCGTCCTCGCCGCCGTCGTCATCGCCGTCGTCGTCGTCATCGTCGTCTTCGTCACCGCCGTTGTCGTCGCCGTCGTCGTCGTCGGCGGCGCCGTCGTGCGCCGACCCCCTCCAGAGCGGCACCGTCCTGCGCGCGCCCCCTCCGCGGCCAGGGGGGTCGGGGCGCGACGACGGCGACGACGGCGACGACGGTGGCGACGGCGACACGAGTGGGAGCACGAGAGCATGAGATAACAATGGTGAGGAGAGTGCGGACGGACAGGATGCGTGGCACGGGAGGTGGTTCAAACTTAGTGCAACGAATGAGAGGGCGGGTGGAGGGACGGCGATCAACGTTGATGTTGTGGAAGGATCTCCAGGATGGCATACGACGAATGCTGCGGTGGGGAAGAGGGGCGGATTGCGATGATGAGTATAATGGTGATGACGACGAACGATGATGATGATGACGATGATGATGATGAGGATGAGGATGCCGACGATGACGACAGTGACGGTGATGATGATGATGTGAGGCGGCGGCGAACCACGGCGTCGGTGCCGACGGCGGTGCGAATGTGAGAGGGGGGATGCATCATGTGATATTGCATTGTGCGACTAAGTCGCAATATGCATCTCGGCCGCAGCCGTTGCGGTACGCGGGGCGCGTCTCTCTCGCGCGAGGCGTCTGCGCGCCGTCGTGCGCGACATGCCTGCGATGTCCGCCCAACTCAAGGCGCTACGGGCCCACCGCCGTCGCGAGGGCAGGGCGGACTTCAACGCCGCGCTCGCGGCCACCGTCAGGCACGTGAGATACACTAAATCACAGGCGAAGAAGAACGAAAAGGAGGTTGGGCTCGTTATGTAGCCTGTATGTTTAGTAGTGTTAGCTACTATACTGACTTGCAGTACGTTGCATGTACATGTGTGTTGATACACGCGTGTACGAATCATATTGTATTGCGTTGCTGTGATTCGATTCGACACCCCAATCGATTCGTGTGTTACAGGGTTTGAATGTTTTCAGGTGTGGGTTGGTAGGGCCGCGTTCACGCCATATCGCCCCCCTCCCCGAAAGGTAGATGCGGCGTTCAATAAGCTGGAGCGAGCCATGAATCAGGCGGAGGCCGCCGAGGAGGTGTTCCGCATGGTTTTGCGGGAGGCAGAGGTGTGGAGGAATGTGCACATTCGTGCAACTGATCGCCTCGTTGCAGTGGGTGGCCTCACGCGGGCGCGGGGCCGCAAGGCCCTTGGCGTCGCGTAGTACGCTCTAGCAGCTTTGCGGGGTTCGCTACAGGGTAGCGGGGTAGCTACTAGGGTAGCCCATGCGTGCAAACGCATTCATCGTATCGCTTGTGGCGCTGCGTGCAAAAATGCAACGTCATGCACGTGTGGGGTCGCACGCCAGTGGGGTCTATAGGGCGGCGCTACGGCGGCGATCGAGCCTTTCGTAAGCATATTGGCCCAAGGTGTGCGTGTGTGTGTGTGTGCGCGCGCAGGCCCTTGCACGTAAACTGTTCTGGTTGCAATGGTGAAGTCCACCAAGCAGAAGGCGATGGAGGCACAGGTTCGCCATGAGCTTAGGGGGGAGCGTGAGGAGCGGGCTCGCCAGAAGAAAGAGATTGCCAAGGCTGCGAACAAGGATGTGGCGTCGACTCGCTCCCGCGTGAAAACACTGACCAAGAAGGCGTGCATGCGTTTAACAACGTATTGCTAATTAAGTTTCCCGCCCCATAACAACGGCCATCCCCCACCCTGGCCCCCAGCAGCCTCAACAGGCAGATGTCGACTACGCCGCGTTCCCCAAGGCGAAGGATGAGTGGATGAACTCAATTCTGGACCGTGAGGCTGCGATCGGGTCGCACAGCGTCGCAGTCGCATGGCTTGTGCATGCGAAGTCCATGGACGTGGCCTGATCCCGAGTCGGATCGCGCATTAGAAATGCAAGCTGTAAAGCCGTGCGTCGTGTGTCGAACTATCTTGCATCTGTTGTATGTAACATCATGCACATGATTGCAGACGATCCCGTTTGTGGTTTGCGGTCTGGCCGCAGAGTGGTAACGACGACAGCGAAGCAGGGGAGGGGATGCGCGGATGAGGGTGATTGGCGACGGCGTGGGGGGCCGTGCGATTGTTGCCCCCCCCCCACCGCGGCCGGGCCGCCCTGCAATTGCATGTGATGTTGCAGTTGGCATCTTATCCGTATCCCATGTGGCTCGCGAGTCTGACGCTCGCGATGCCCACTTGCCATGTCGCGATCTGTCGCGCCATCTACTTGCGTTAACTACGCAGTGACGTCCGTGCCAAACCTTATCGTTGAGCTAAACCATATGCACGAATGGGTGCAAACTCAGATAAGCTGCGGGTTGGATCCCGCCGCAGTGGCCAAGTGTCAATTTGACCAGTTGCTCCTCAAAGTTGACCATCTGGGAAACTTGAGCACCGATGACGCGTCACTCCTCGCGAATGCCATTCGAGACAATGCGCTGGACCACTGGAGCTCGCGAGAGCTTGCCCAGCTTTGCTCGGCCGTTGGTAACAAGACTGGCTTGCTGGGATACACCAGCGGTTCTAAGAAGTGGCAGGAGGTAACCATCTCCCCTAAATGCCTCACAGCGACTGAGCTCGCTAAGTTGAAGGGGGGACTTATCAGGGAAGGCGTGTGTAAACATTGTGGTCAACCGTGCCGCGCTCATTGGCATGCATGCATTATCAGAAAAAAGTACGGCGCGAGTGGCGGCTGTGGTGGCACATGCCGTTGGGAAATGTGGCAACGCAGATGCGTGGATGAAACTATTGAAGGATGTGAAGAAGAAGTTGGGCGCAGCTGTCGCTGCGAAAGCGCGGGCCAAACGCGGGTACAGGACGATCTGGGCTTATGACACCATCGACCAGATGCATAGCGAGGCATGGCGGGGAGAGGCGCATGACGACGCCGAAGGCCCATGCATGGAGGACATGGGTGCCGACGAGCCCGAGTTCGCGCGAGGGTCTTCCAGCAAGACCAGGAAGACGACCACCGTTGAGCCCGTCGCGCCCCCCCACGCCAAGGCCGCGATGCCAGATGACGGTTGGTGGGCAGATGCAGATGTAACAGAACATGTTCGGGGGGCAGTTGGCCGCGGCGCTCGTCGCCAATGCGGCACTCCATGGAGGACATGCAGCTGGGTCTGCAGGAGCGTCTACAGGGGTGCACTCAGGGGCATCTTCAAGGGGCTGCCCTCTGGAGCCACCAAAGGCGAAGCTCCCGCCTCGTGAGGAGCCAACGCTCGGCAAGTCGGCGGCGGCCGAGCCGACAGTTGATGACGAAGAGCCCGATGCCAACCTGAGCGGCGAGGAGGCCGCCCTGCGCAAGCTGCTCGCCACCAAGGCGAAGGCGGCGGCCGCGGCGACGGCCGCGCGCAAGCGCCCCGCCGCGGCTGGCGACGCGGCCGCCGATGCCACCGAAGCAGATGCATCAGAGGATGCAGAGCAGCCGAAGAGCGCGGGCAAGGGCAAGGGCAAGGGCATCAAACACAAGCACAAAAGCCATAACACATGCAAAAGACACGGCAAGGGCAACAAGAACACGGGCAATAACACGGGCAAGGTCGTCGCGAAGAGGCCCCCAAGCCACGTCGCGAAGCCGAAGGTGCTGCCGCCGCCTGCGAAGGCGGGGAACCTCCACTACAGGGTTGGCTACGTACTGACCCAGAACGACAAGCAGGTATATCGCCCCGTAGTGGGGGCGGGGCGACCAGAGGATCAAGCGGGGCCCTGGCGTGCGCTCGCGCGCTGAGGCGTGGTCCGCTGCCTTTGCGTTCATCGACGATCGGTCGTAGGCCAGCACATCTCATTGTTTGTTGCTGCAGCGATGGATTCGCTTGTGCATCTGTGGTGTAAAACAAATACGGTGCGATCGTCGCATCCTGTCTCACTCGTGTCGATTGCGTTGCGGTCATCGCATATCGCATCAGCCCGTAAGCATTTTGGCTGGCATGGCGTCGGGTCCGCGGCCGAAGCGGTCCCGAACACACTCCGATGCATTAGTTGAGGCCCACCGCGACCCGTATGTTTCCCAGGCAGCATTGTCTCACGTGCCCACTTACGTTCGTGACAGTGGGTTGCCAGGCGCTGTCTCGCGGGGGTCCCAATATAGGGCATATGAGAAACATGTGGTCAATGATCGTAACACATATGGCCTTATATTTAATGGCATGCAGATGCCTCTTGGCGACGATAACGATGGGGGCACATTTGGGAATTGGGTGTGCAACCCAGGGGCGTTCTTGTACGCCATATGCAAGTAAAGCGGGCCGTTCAAGTCATTGATGCGCTAACAATTGCAAAAGCACCCATGTTATTTAGTTGTGCCTTGGAAAATGACTCTTTATTTCGATGGTATATCGCCGCGCGATCCTGCCACGAAAGGCAACGGCTACCGTGGTATGGATGCTGTGTACGGGTCTTTTGCCGAATTTGACGAACACTTGCAAAACGAAGATCTACGGTTCACCCTCAGCACCGCGCGCGTTGCCAAGGTGAAAGATATGCCTGGGGGCATCGGGCAATCTATCCGCATGGTGCTCAGCGAGCTCTTTTTTCATAGATCGGGTGGCGTTCCCTTTGGGACAACGGGGGTTGCGCTGGATGTATCTGCGCTGGGTGACGCAACAACATACGCAACGATAGATGCGAGATTGGCGTGTGTTATAGACGAGGAGGCATTGAGGGAGCTTCATATGAACAAGGGGCACGCTGGCTCTAAGGCCTGCGCAAGTTGCAGGAACGTCCTTAAAAATAAATTCGGCTACACGAAATTCGACAGATCGGGGACATACGTTGATGATACCTGCCTTGACAAAAGCAAACTCGCATACAACACCGACGCGGCAGTCGTCGCGATCTTGGAGAGGTTGCGCCCTGATTGGGAGAGGTACCAGCGAGACGAGCTCACAGGCGCGCAGTACACATCTGCGGCGCAGGTGAAAGGTTGGAGTTTCCGTCCAACGCATGTCGCACTGGACCCGTTTCTTAGATACTTGGTGATGACATTCCTCTGCTTCGATTGGATGCACGTATATTTCGTTAGTGGCATTTTTGATCGGGAAGTCAGGGCCCTCCTAGAGCACAAAGGTTTCAAAAAATTGTGCAGCGCCGACGACCTCCACGAATACTTCATGGAGTGGACGCGGCCATCCAAACACCACTCTGCTGCGACAGTCTGGGAAACGGGAGACTTCCAGGCGAGTGCCTCGCAAGAGCTATCTGCGCTTCCCGCGCTGGCTCTATACATCAGGCAAGTCATTGCCAGTACACCATCATGCGATGCAGTCGCAGACCAGATAGCAAGCACGCTGGCGTCATGTGACGCCGTGGATGTTATTCTCTGCGCGTCGAGGCGATTGCCATGCACACGCCACGAGGTTGAGTCAGCAGTGTTGAAACATCTGGAGCTTCACCAGCGTGCATATGGTGCCAAGTATTGGGTGTATAAGCATCACATGGCTATCCACTTGGCTGATATGTTTGAGAGGCATGGTGCTTTATCATGGTTTGTCCAACAGCGGAAACACAAACATGTCAAAATATTTGCAAAGGACCACCTGTGCAAGACGAGGCCCGAGAAGGTTGTAATGATCCAGCTCACGGCTCAGCACATGCATGATCTACAGAACATCCGCGGGTTGTCACTGGAGTGCGAGTTCGAGTGCGCCACAGCTGCAAGCAAACGTTTGTTGAGTGCTTTGCAGCAGCTGCAGCCAGGCACGCATGCAGCAGTCTCGACCATTGAAGCGCACACCGAACATGGAGGGATAATCAAACGTGGTGACATAATTTTGATGGGTCGCGATCGTGGCCACGTTGCAGTCCAAGTGTGGTTCCACATGAAATGCGACGGCGATCCGCCGCAGAGCTTGGTTCAGATTCTGATTACAAAGCACGTGCATGCGAGCGAACACTTTTCTAGGCATGTCATCGATGATGCCCGCGATCCCGTTCTCATCCCCTTCAGTTCGTTGAAATCTCCAAGGTGGTTTACAGGAGAGTTGGCGATCATATCACGTGCATTTGGCCAGTGGAATACCGTAAATTGTTCTGTTATCGCATACTTTACCCCCAAAAAAAACATCGATATGCAAAGAACACAACATGCAACCTCCAAAACAACAACATGCACGTTCCAAAAAAAAACTCAAGTATAAGCCAACAAACGAACATGTCACTCCAAAAACTCCAATAAGGTAACTAGTTATAACGAGTTACCAGCTAGTTATAACTCCA